CAATGCAGTTCTATCCTGTAGGAAAATTTGTAGTGCCCGAAAGTGTAAGTCTTGATCTCGCTTGTGTTGGACACCTCCTGTGCACCGTGAGAGCTAGACCTCCTGCGTACTGTCCTGGTTTGGTTTTGAAATTGAAAGCCGAATGCTTTGATCATCTTCAAATCGCCCACTTCCACCATTGTTGTATGTCTTGGGTCGGATGGCAGACCGCCGTTGTGATCTTGTTGCAGAGCAGACTGCGTATGAATAGAGCTCATGTTCGACAACTCAGATGCTTCGGTCTTGTGGTGAATAGTCAGCTGCTGGACGATGTTGCACCTAGAGCTTTTTACAGAGTCAGTTCGGAGCTTTCAGAAGTAGAACTCGGAAGGCGCACAGGATCTCCGCAGTCATCATATGTTGCAGGTAATTCAGATCATCGTCCAGCCACTTGCTCAACCGAGATATGTCATCTTTGCATTCCAGAAATGTGAATCCCGCGGTGTTGAAGGGCCGTCTCTTCCCACCTTTTCTTTCCAGCTTTTTGATGATGGCATGAATCTCGGCGAGTGTCGATGAGATACTTCTGAGAACACATACACCCCAGGTCTTGATGAGATCAGAGCACTGTCTCGAAGATGCGTCTCCCTCGAGACTGTCTTTGATCGCACCGCATATTACCTCGACCCTTTCGATCTTGAGTGCCAGCCGGTTGATCTCCGCCGAGGCAGACCGGTAAGATGTGACGACTCTCTTGACTTTGATGGCGGAGTCGATGAGCTGTAAAGAGAGCCCAATCACTCCGATAGCTGCCTCCATCGATGATGAGGACGATGTACTAGGTGTAGGTGTGTGAGACCGCAAGTACAAGGAGACTCGTGAAGACAAGAACTTTCACAAGAGACTTGAGAGACGGATGAGGCACCTTATTATTCTACCATCGAGCAAGAAGAAGTCAGCGAGACAAGGCTGTCAGGCAGATTTACCCCTCCCGGACCCTACATGCGACCATACAATCGTGGCCCAATAAGACCTCGCCGTAGATAGCTTCGCCACAGCTATACTGATTGCACATGCTGTTGGTTCCATTTCCGACGTATCACCATCCATGGCAGTGAGTTGCTTCCTCGCTAGACGTTGGCTATTGAATGGGGATACTGGAAAGGGAGGTTGTCTTTTCCGAGTCGTATCTAAGAAAGGATGCATTTATTAGGGGCTATATAAAACCCTTCTACGCAGTGTCATGTACTAAATATCTAATTATGTAGGTCCTGAATGCTTGTATGTGCATCTTTACCCTTCGGCCATTGTAAATTATTTACTCAAACGTAAAAGTCGAGCGGCAACTTGAGCCACTCGCATTGCTCGACATCCTTGAATCCTTTCATCATATTGTCTTTCACGGGCCAATCAATGGCCCTCATCTTCATGTCGCCTTTCACGGACGGCTCCCAGGGCCCGGACTTTTCTAACGCCCTCAACGTGCTGTCGAAACCTCTGGCCCTGAGGAAGGCCTTATCCGGATTAGGATCATAAGTCCTTGCAAACGAGGTGAACGTGTCGACGAGATATTGCATCCAGGGCAAGTCGTTCTCGTCTCGAAGCGGATTTCCCTGTCGTACGAGATTACCAAACAGCGGAAGCAACTCGCCCGAGTGGCATCGGAGGTTGTTGGCGGGCGACTCGGGATCTCCATTCGGGTGAGCCTTTGACTTGGGCGCCTCGCAGATGTCAAGTCGCGGCCACTCGGGCGTCTGGTACGTCCGCTCAAACTCATAGTAGTACACCTTGGACCCCAGGACGCCGTTCTCCAAGCCCGCGTACGCCGTAGCTTGGTCTACGCAGCGGAACATCGCGTCCGTCGCGAGCCTGGCGCCCACACCGAACGCCGCCCGCGTCTGATTTCTGACATCTGTCGGAGGGAAAAGACGCCGTGGCGGAGCTGGGAGACCCTGAGATGTGAGCCACTGGGTATCGTTGAGGACTGTTCCATTACGTGGGAAAATCAAAAACGGTAAGCCGTCTTCAGATGTGATTCCCATCATGACGTTGACGTTGAGAGAGTCTCCCCTGAGAGGCAACTCATCTGTCGTCAGGTAGACACCGTCGTTGACGAGGTACCGCGCTCCTGGTCCGAGACTGCCAAGCGGCGCGTCTCTCAGACAGTCTAGCTGCGACGTTGCGTTGGTGCAGTTCGTCGTGCCGAGAATAGCGTTGCCCACGAGATCTAGCTGTTCCTCGATGGAGAAGTACTTGGAGTACGACGTCCCGTACGCCAAGCCCCCGAGGTTGCTGAGCGGGATCGCGCCCGCAAACTTGCCGGCAGCCTTTGGAGACGCCATCATCGCGCGGACGGAGGCAGCTCCGGCGGACTGGCCAAATATGGTGATCTTGCTTGGGTCTCCTCCAAAGTCTCGGATGTGTTGTCGGACCCAGTCCAATGCCAGGATCTGGTCGGCCAGACCAAAGTTGCCATTTGTCTCGCCATCGTCAATGGCCAAATAGCCCAGAGACCCCAGCCGGTAGTTGATGGTCACGACGACTACATCACCACGAGACGCCAGGTTTCCCCCGTCAAACAGGGGATCACTGCCAAAGCCACTCGTCAGAGCTCCGCCGTGAATCCAGAACATGACCGGCCGGAGACCGCTGTCTATGCGTCTGTTACGGGGAAGATACGGCGTGTAAACGTTCAGGTACAGGCAGTCTTCTGCGCCGCCGAACCCCTGATAGCAAGGGGAGCCGAATTCAAGCGCGGTAGCATTACCGCCAGAGCCTCGATACATCTTAGGGTATGCGAACCGCTTCGTCTTTGTAGCGTAACGCATGCCATGAAAGCGGAAGCTGTTCCTATCGCGGAAGCCGAGTACTGCTTCTCTGTTGGAGTAAACTACAGTCTGCCACCTCGGACTGCTATCCTGAGCTATACCGTTGGAGTATGGCGCCGTCTGCGTGCAAAGAACGGTGTTCGTGTCGGATGTGCCGGCAGAGGAGACCTCGCCTTTAAGATTGATCGTTTGGGGATCATCGCCGTTCTTTGGCATAACCCAGATTGCTGACAAGTCAGCATCTGGCTCTTGATAGTCGAGAATGTCTAGTATCCTCTGAGTGTGGTTCGAATCTGCCTCCAACAGCTGTTCACCGAGATCGCTGCACATGGACTTGGCCTCTCGTAATGGTACCCGGGCCCTGAGGAAGAGAGCGCTTGCATTAGCCGCTGGGCTTTTCGAGTCTAGAAGGTTGCCATTGTCAGTCAGGGACTTTTGGATATGTGATACTGGTTGCGACTCACCCAGGAGGTCATTGTCTCGAATGATGGTTATGTCGGTCCTGAGGTCCTGGGTCGACGGTACGCACGAAACAGCTGCAGCTAGTAAGGCGACCAGAGCGAGCGCTCCCGCGGGCATGACGTCTTACACCGAGACCGAGATGACAATTCGCCGAGAAGAATATCGGAACCCACATATACAAACATGGAGAAAATCAACAACCAAAACCAAAGGAATGGATGGTAGAACTGTCTGCTTCTTCCTTCTGAGCAATGTTGACTTGGAAGTACAGCAAAAGTGGCGGCAGTCACTTCATCATTAAAAGAGTTCCAGGGACATCCGCTCAACTTGACTCAACCGGACTGTTCATTGCGCCGAGTGAACAGGACAGAAGCAGGCCAAGGATCTCCCAAGCAACAAGGCGAGCGGGAAAGGAAGAGTCGGCACGGTCCGACCAGGTGCCCAAGTCTTGCTCTTCCTCGCAATTCAGAACGACACACTTGGCCCCCCTCCGCCCTCGCCGCGGGGCCCTGGGATAAAAGCTCAGGCACCAGAGTCGATCGAAGCTTTGGGATCAGCCTATCCGTGTTAGAGTGATTTCTCTACCGGGAAGACCGCAGGGCTGGAATGGCAGACAAGAGAGACCCCGAGCAGGGAAGCATGATGGACGCGGGCACTCTGCGAGTTTTAGGCTGGACGCATGAGATCGCGCGGAGGCCGATGCTTCTGGTCCGAGCCAGGAGCAGGCTGGCGGAAAGGTTGCTCAGGTTTCAAAACTCAAGTCTCTCGCGCGCTCGCGCGCGCCGTGCTCATTCGCCTGCCCCGCGACAATCATAGACACAAACGACGTGGGTTTATCGCGTATGGCGCAACTTCGATTTCTAATTGCTCCGACGGGCCGGTAGATTCTTGTTTGACACTGCAACCCTCACTCCACCAGAAGTTGATGGTGTGGGTGTCGTTGGGGCTTGTAGGACAAGTTTTGAGTGCCATTCGATTGCCGAACGTCCGGATTTTTGGCAAAACGTCGTACTCAAAGCCGCTGCTGTTGCATTCTCGAGTATGATCTACGAACTCGGATCGGTGCGGGGTGGATTGATGTAACACCATGTCAACGTCCAAGAGCGAGGGCATGAAGACGAGAAAGGTCTGGCCAAGGTGAGAAAGCTCGTTGTAAGATGAACGACAATGGCGTCGGGAATCGACATGGATTAATCTGACTTCTACTGTTTCCATGCAGCACCGTTTGGCATTCTATCGTTCCATGTCTCTCTTCACACTTTTGTCGTTGAGGTAGTGGCAAGACGCCAAGAAGGACGGCGAAACAACGGAGACCGTCCGTCATGTTCGCCATCTGATGCGTGCTTTCTGCACATCTACTGAGTCGTCCCTTGTGAGGTAAACTCTATGTCCTGAAGAGGATCCTGCCCCGACGAGGTAAGAGGACTAGGTCAAACGGGGCCTGACTCACGAAGGTTATGGGGAGGATGAGGCTCAACATGGAACAACGTCAACCCTTCCTGACATCTAACACATGTCACAACGAGACAGACAGGTATTGTGTCGGATGAACCGCGATTTTTGATTTCTCTGGCTACTGATAGCTACGCAGGGGACTGCAACTATCAAAGTCACAGTTCCTCCGCGGTGTTCTCAAAGTTGATGATGGTGAACCAAAGCTAACCCAAGTTTCCCGAGCATTCCCTTGTATCCTTCTCCAACCTTTCAGATCTTGCTGGTGATTCCAGACATCTAATCGTGCTTCAGAGGCGGGTCGGACTTGCAACAGTCGTACTTGTCCGTTGCGACGATCCAGAAGCTGAGTGGAAATTCCTTGCAGCCGATACTGCCTCTGACTTCCATGTTACCGTCCTTGCCGCAGTGATCGAAGCTCTGAGCGAAGATGCCAAACATGTCGAGGTTGCCGATCTTGGAACTCTTGCCATTGATCGGGGAACCTTGAACATTGGCGAATTCAGAACCGACGGCGACGAGACAAGTGCCGATGCGCATGAACTCAACCCATTTGGTGCCACGGAGATCAAGGTCAGAGAAGGTCCAGGTGCCGTCTGTCTTGCCCATATGCTTGTATATCTCCATGCAGTCCTTAGTTAAGGCCTTCTGGTTGCGGTTGTAGCAGGTAACGCCTTGTCCCTTACAGACCTTCTCGGACTTGTCGCTTTTCTTGAAAATGTGACGCTTGGAGAAGGAAGAGGTGCTGAAGTAGTTGATGATGGGAGTGAAGGTGTCTCTGGCAAGGAGAGTATCTTCCGTGTTGATGTTACCCTTGGCAATGTCGTCGACACTCTTCTTGGTTTGCTTGACCTCCACAACCGAGGAGACAACTCTCTCCACTTCCGTGGAGTCGGCCTTGTCGATCTTCGGAACGGTGAAGAATGGCCTTGCACTTGCCGTTGCCGAGAAGGACCTCGTGGCAGACAGCCTTGGGACAAGGGGGCTCGGTGAAGGCGCAGAGAGAGCCACAGGCAGGATCATGGATGATTCCAGGGCCCTGGGCAACAGGGTTGGCAGCGACGGCAAGGGCCATCACAGCGGTAGCGGTAGCGAGGAGACGGACCATGACAACCATCTTGAGGGGTGTTATTTGGGAGACTTGATTGATGATACAGATGGAAGCTATCTCTTGGGGTAAAGAAAATGTAGAACTTTGTCTGCTTCTGGCTGTGGTAGTCGTCGTGTTTGACAATCGTGGGGTAGGCGGGTAGGTAGAGGTGAAGAAAACAAGAGGCAAGGAGGTCTCGGGTGGTATAGCCTCGAGGCGGTAATTGCCTTACTGGAAGTCTGAAGCAGTGAACAAGGTGCTTTGAAATCTGTGTGTTTGCTCGCTTGATAGCAGAGGAAGGAGGGAAAACAAAGGGAGAAGGTGCGATTGTGGGTGTACAGAAACGCCAGTCGTGAGGGGGAAGGCACGTCGGAGCAGCGTGAGGTGAAGAGAGAAAAAAAAAAACATAGTACCTAAGTTATGGCAATTATCAAATGAAGGGATCTGGAAGTACAGTATTCACGTCCAGGGCCCTGATGTAAAGTATTTCACTCTCTGTGCGCTGTGTAACATGAATAGCCGGATCAAGGTGAGATATCTTGTCCATATGGGGCTCAGTCAACCTTCTGTTTTCCAAGGCGCCAGACTTGGCTATTGTGGTGAGTAGTTCATTCACATGGGATCAGTCATTGTAGCGAAGCCTGTGTATTGAAGCTATTGATGATGGCCTACTGAAGTATCCTTCCAATGTAACAAAGAATTCCAAGAAGCAGTCACAAACTACCTGCTCCTGTAACCCGTTCCTTGTGAATCCTTGTCAACCCTGTAAGGATGTTTCTTCTCAAGAGCCAAATCTATAGCGTAAGGTATGCTCATTCCTCAGTTGTCCCACTTGATCATGTCGGGGTTGGCGATGTACCAGTCGGTAGCGACCTTGCCACCCGAGGCAATGCAAGAAGAGCGACCAGCAACCTCGACCTGGTCCATCATTCTGTGCTTCTCGATGGCCTGCTGAATGATCTCGGTGACATCCTGGTTACCAATGTTGATACCAGCCTCGGGGCGGTTCTCCTTAGTGGCGCCGACAACAAAGGCGCAGGTGCCAACGACAGAGAGAGCGACCCAGCGATGCTTGTCCAAGTCGGCCTTGGAGACGGCCCAGTGGCCAGCATTGGAGGCGGCCCAGTCCTTGATGACGAGGCAATCGGAGACGAGGGGCATGTAGGGGTTGATGTGGCCAGAGTGAAGGCCATTGACGTTGTCGCAGAAGTCCTCGTTGCCAGCCATCTTGTTAGGGATCCAGCTGGTGGCTCCAGAGTTGACGGCAGTCTTCATGCTGTCGAAGTTGCCCTCGTTGGACTTGACGGGATCGAGAGTGAAGACAGCGAAAACGCTGCCATCGGGGGCTATGAAGGGTTGGCAGACAGCGTTGGCGAAGGGAGCCTCGGTGATCTCGCAGATCGTGGCCATGTCGGCCTTGACCGGCTGCTCAGCAGGAGCAGCAGAGGTGACAATCGCGCCCAAGATGACGGAGAAGGAGGTGATGATGGCGATGCTCTTCATTTCGGTGGTGTTTGAGAGTGGAGGGTGGGATATTGTGATGTGAGGTGTAGAGGGGAACTGAGATTGTTTGTTGTTGATTGTCGTTGAGCCACTTTTGTGAGGGTTGAATTGTTTGTGGGAAGAAACTTTTCCAAGGCAAGAGCAAAGGACTTTTTTGTCTTCTGGATATGAGTCTCTCATGGAATACACACTCAGGCGAGAGCGGTGAGCTAGTTTCAATGGTGAATACTATCACAGTTTTAAGTGAAAAGGGGGCAGGAGTGGATTGAGGGGGAAGGTGCCTCCAGCCCATTGAGCAGAAGCAAACAAAAACACGCCGCGGAAAGTTTGTTTGCAAATGGCTTATTTTTTTGCACCATGGACAATTGGGTAGGCTTTTAAGACATTCATGACTGGGATTTGAGTCTCAAGATCGCTGGTAATTGAGATAACTTTATAATAAGGGACGAGGTATCGTGCGTTGTGCAGCTTCGATGTGATCAATGCAACAACTTACCCAGGTTAATATCCTTCATCAAAATCTTCATAACCCGGCTGTTTGAAACAGTCCCTCCTATAAATTGATCGAGGAGTTCTCGATCCTGTTCTTGGAGACTTAGTCGTGGTTATGCATGGGAGGTCTTCTTCCTACCTGACTTACTTACCTTTGACGACTTGGGACGATATGTACGAGACACGACTGCGCTATATGCCATTCTTAATCCTTGACCCCATGTGTGTGGCTTGAAACTCGTTGATCGATTCCTCTTTTCAGACATACCGTGACTGTTGTTGATCATATTGACCAAGTTCTCTTCCTTAGAACATCGAGGAGGATGGGTAATAGAATCGTCTTACAATCGTGAGGCACCCAAACTGGTCACCAATCAAAGACGAAGAATACCACCCCTTTCAGAAATACGAGTATTGTATCTGCAAACCTTTTCCTGACGTTGAATCTGGAAAAGTGCCAGGTGAGTGGTGGCACAACCTGTGTGTTCCCCAGCAGAGGACGAAAAGAGGCCAGCATCTCGCACCGCAGGCTGAGCCAGGCATCCAAGCCGTAAGCACACACTCTCGGAAAGACACTCACCTCTTGACTTCGGACTTGTCCGGCCGGATAAGTGGCGCGAGTTGAGACAAGTGTGGTGTCCTCGGGTAGAGCCGCTGTCTCAAAGGCTCTACCCGGCAAGGGAACGCCTTTTGCGAGTTCAACGGTTGGCGTCATACCGAGTATGTATCTTGGCACATCATCACCTCGCTGCTGCCTTGCTGATTAATTCTTTAGAGAGGCATCGACTTGACGCCGTGTTACAGATGAGCCAACCATCTCCGATCATACTAGGTAGGCAGGAGATGGATTGCGAATAGGGAGTCGAGAAAGGAATGCTAAACGCTGTAGATGGCCAGCCAAAGTGCTGTACATTGTGCAAAAACCCAGTCAGTCACGTCAGCCGAAAGAAACGAGGCAACCGCGCTTTTGCTAGCCTCGTTGAGAATGGGCAAAAAGTTTGAGAAAAGTTGTGATTTCTACACCCATCTACAACCTTGGCGTTGTAACCGGGCGCAGGCTGGTACATGTGAATGAGGGGTGGCGTCTTGTTGTGTGGAAGCCAAGGGCTCTTCTACTTGCAGGGATTATCAGCATCCTGACTGATTCCTCTTCAAGCCATGTGCTTTGTAGAGGTTACACCAAATACTCAGCATTCGAGGATAATCTCACTGTGCCGAAACTTCTTGAATGTACTGACATGATGATCAGTTGAGAATTGAATGAGCCGGCGAGAGTGACAGCTCTTGTCCTCCCTCGACCGTTGGGCACATATACAGATGATGGCGGCATTGTAGACGGTAAGAACCAGGAGCCAGGCCTCTTGTTTGTGACACGGAGTACAGCTTTTCGGCTTCTAAGGACAAAGGAAGGACCCGCAGTTTGACGGAAAGCCGCCAGATCGCTCGATTGTACGCGTTGTACATGAGGAGAGCAAGGAAGTCCCTGTGGCATTAGGCATCTCTGCAATGGCTACGGCGAAGATAGATTCCAGGGTGCGTGAGGAGATTTTTCTTGTATACCTCTGATGTGAAAATCTGCGTGTCCAACGTCACGCAAAGGCCATGCACAAAGACTATTTCAGTCGCTGTGGGACCCGGGCTTCTCGACGTGCAGTGCCGATGAGCAGAACGTTGGGAATACACGCATCGAAGGCACCGAGGTCTGATACTTCCGTGTCGTCAGGAAATGCGAGTTCGTGCCAGCGCTGTGGATGTTGTGTACCAACACAACTGACAGCCTTGGTCTAGGCTTTTGCTGATCAGCCGCGGCGTCTGAATATCATCGAGCTTGAATGATAGACGGTGTAGACAGGCCTCCCCTGTCTCTGAAAGATTGAGTGAGTTGAAGAGGTTTCGCGAGGCAGTAGAGACCCTTCGTTGTTGCATGGGTGGTGCTTGTAAAGGAAGTGACCGATCAGAGCAGCTGTCAGTCACGTCAGTTAAGGTGCGGCTCTGCAATGACAACTGAGACCAGATGGCACTATTGTCTCATTGTTCTCTGCCACTACACATCATTCGAGCACTCTGGGATGCTATGAGGCCATGGGAACGACGTGAACGGGGGAGAAAATAGGCGCCAGCGAAAAGCGGCGTTTGGATCGGACTCGTATCAGAAGACCGGCCACGTAAGATGCTCCATTTAGAATGGTCTTGTTCAAGTGTCAGATGAACCACCGACCAGGCCAGCTCCAAAGATCGAGGTAGAATTCGCACGTTCCAGACCACAACCTGAATGAGAGGCGCCCTTCGAATCCTATCTTTGATACGAAGCCGAGGGCGGTACCGACTGCAACACACTCGTCGACGAACAGCCTTAATGTCTCGGTTGTTACGGACTCAGAATAGTCTCTCTCACGTCCTGCATATAGACGTACGCATGTCTCGATCGCTGGCATCTCGAATTCGCATCCTATGACCGGGAAGAATCTTGTATTCTTGCCCATTCCTTCGTGTCGTGTCAGCTTGATTGGTCAAACACCTAGGGCTTCTGCCGTGTAACATTATTCTGCAGGTCGTTGCTGGATGTCCCTTATCGGAGTCATTTGATGCACCTCTCACCAATTGGAGTCGTCTAGAGGGGGAGTCGTGGCCATTGATTGTGGTCGGTGATGGCACCCAGAAGTGTAAGAATCCTATACCCGATTGAGCCGGCCCTGGGCATGCGTTGATTTGCCGATCAAGCCACACAGCTGGACACACTCTGCAATGCGCATCCTCCACACACCTGAAGAAAAAGCGGCACGTCTTCGGTGGGGGAATCGAAGTTAACAGATATTCAGCCGGATGGTTGCCTTGTTTCGTGCGGCGCGGACCATTTCCACTGTTCGCCATGTCCGCCTTCCGGGTCGACCCTCCCTCCCGCCCGTCAAACTCGTCCGTGCAAGACAAAGCCAGTCTCTTGCGGGGTAATGAGCACCGGCAGAGACGGTAAATGAGCAGCTCTCGGCGTGTAGCATAGGAGCTCAGATTTGCCAAGACACGGTGACAGCTTCCGATTCGGAGTGCAGCTCTAATACAGACGACTCAGGTTTATGAGAAATGTACAATCCACCGTCGCCGGGACCCGTTGGACTCTGGGTGGCAATTCAGACTGTGTTTCGTCTAGTCGAGTTCATCCATCGACCAGGTCAAACTCTCTGGCTCAGGCGAGGGAGGCAGGCGTCTCAAGTATCGCAGTTGAAATAATTGCCGTTTGATGACCAGGCTGCCAATCCAAAGGTGAGGAACGTGGCGCTCGACTGGGCGGTGCCCACCACTTCACCGAACCGACAGGGATGGTGCAAATGGATGCCTCGAGAGCGACGAAGTATCATATGAGTAGGTGGCTTGCTGGGTTGAGTGATAGGTTACGCATATGGTAGACAATTGCATATTCCTGGCGGTGAAAGTCAGCTTCCTGGCTTCCTGAAAGCTCGCAACGCCCGCCCCCTCTTCTTACCATCACTATTTCCCACCCTTCTCTGCCATCTTCTTCTTTCCCCTCATCGGACGTATGAAGCCGGATAGCTGACCTCGACATTTCAAGTACAGGGCTCGTATCATCGGAAAGAAATCAGTCGAGATACGTGCTGCTGCGGCCAAAGTTGTTGATGGTGGCCAGTCCGTTCTTCTCGCCGAGCCCAGACCTGCATCCTGCAGCCAGGAACAAAGATCAAGACAGACCAACATCATACCAACGGCATGCCAACAGCATAAGTACCAACACACCCTCTTGTCGCTCATTTTGTCTCATACACCCTTCCACAAAGGACTGCGCTCGCCTCACTTTGTCTGGCGCCGTCTCCGAGTCGAGACAGCCACAACCCTCTCGACTTCTTCCGGCACGACATCCTATTCTGAATACTTGTCTCCCTCCTATCTTATTGCACGTTAGCTTCCCGGGACGTCGGGTACAGGCTACCCATATAAGACGTGCCTTACCTGCCCCCAGGCCCCCTCGAGACTAGCCTCCGAGTCCTAGCATCCTTACAATTCTCGTCACCATCATGGCCCCCCTTCCAGCTGGCGTTGTCAATCTCACTTCCGGTCAGCCGAAACACCCTCAAGGGGCGACGGTACGAGGTGGACCGCATCCACCGCCTCCTCCGCCGGCGCCCAAACCTCCCGCTCAAGGACCGCCGGCTCATCATGTCATTCCACGTCCAGCAGCCCCGATGGTAGCTCCGATGATGATGCCTCGACCCATGCCGGTTCAGCCTCCCAACGACGTGATTCCACCTGAGCTACGGCGCAAGCGTCTTGTTGAGCGTTCAGATCTTCGCAACGAGCGTATGACCGATGCCGATGCACGCGAAGCTTTGTCCGAGTATGTCGTATACCGGTTCGAAAAGGTCAATGACCCAAACGAGATTGACGACGAAGGAAACCCCGTCAAATCGACCTGGGAGAATGTTATCCGCACAGAGGTCCAAGACCTCTCTAAGCCGGCCATAACCCGAACCATCCGTCAACTTGATGCTGAGGGCAAGACGGCAATGCAGAAGAAGCTCGACCTCACAGGGACGCAGCAGCGTCAGATCGAAAAGGCGCAAAACAATCTCGACGCACACAACCTTGACAGGCGGTTCTATTACACTCTGCAACAGATCAGCACTAAGATCAGGAAGCTCAGCAAGGACTCCATTGAGTACCGTCAATACATGGCCGGGAGAAAGGCCAAGAAGGTCGTGATAACCAAGGTCAAAGAAAGGAAATCAAAGAAGAACCTCCTGGAGACCATCTCTATGACAGTATATTTCAAACGAGAGCCGCGCTTCGGCGAGGATGCAAAGGCCATTCTCAAAGAGAGGGAACGGGAGATTGAACATCAACAACGCCTACGTGATCAACAGCGGCAGCACCATCTTGATCATCAATTATTTGCACGACAGCAAGGTCATGAGTTGGCGATGCGACAGCAGCATGAAGAATTTCAGCGACTTCACCCGCAACCAGTGGTTTTACCACCTCGCCCTCCGTTCCCGTTGCCGAAACCTGGCAAAGAGAAAGCCGACGTCAAAGTCATCAAGACAGAGAAGGGTAAAACCAAGGTTTATGACCTCCCTTCGAGAAGCTCTGGAAGCTCCGGAAGCTCGCGCTCGGACGATAGTTGGAGCGGATCGGACCGTACGCCGAGTACATCCGTCACTGGGTCCTCGGACTCCGGCAGACATAACCACCGCCGCGGTCGTCTTCCAAGTCGCGGTCGCAGTCGAAGCCGCAGCCGTAGCCGTAGCCACCATCGATACCATACGAAGCAGGACTATCGCCTCTTTGATTACGATGTTCCTCGCGGTCGTATGCCTCATTCACCTCCACCCCCACCATTGATAATGCCTGGCGGAGTCGACCGCTTTGAGCATGAAGCATTCCGGCCCCGGCGGCTAGCAGATACGGCCTATAACAACGACCTGGAAGACATTGAGCTGTTCAACAGTCTCGGCCGCCGTCGACAAGTTGTGCTACCGCCCCGTGTCATACACAGGCGGCCCAGCTTCCGCATTGTCGATTCGGAAGAGGTTGTCCGTGCAAGACACGAAGATGATTTGGATAATGTGAGGAGATTGACGATCCGTGATGAAGTGAGATTTGAAGATCGACGGGTGGGCGAGGAGGAGCTGGCTGCCGACACACGGAGGCGACGACTGGAAACTCGATTCCGTCGGTCTTCTCTAGAAAGGGGCGCTTTGTTTCGAGACGAGGAAACGTACGAAGAGAGAGCGCGACAAGCAAAACAGTACATGAGCCGACACCAAGACAATCCGTTTGAACCACTTGGGCGATCGGGGGCGAGGTACCACAACTAAGGTGGCCCAAGTTTGCGGTTTTTTTTCCGGGGTTTCCTTCCATACTCGAGGATGTCGTCGATAGCTATACGTCTCATTGATCGGCAAGAACGGAACTATTCTGTGTTAATGCTTTAGTCGAAACAAAAGTTGGACGGGCAGTGTCTTTCCAGAGGGCAGCATAGTGAAATTGACCAATGAAAGATATGAACAATCAGTTTGACAAAGTGAGGATCTTCCTCGTCCCAGTGAAAGTAAATATGGCAATGCAGCTTGCAGGTTGCAGAGACGCCGAGGTAGCACAGCACAAACATGGAAGGCGAGAGCTTGACTAAGTAGTGCCAGGCCAGGCTGGCGGAGCTCTGCCCAACCTTTGTGCCTAAAAGGCTGCCATTGGGGTCGACTGCAGATAGTCAGTTTCCCGCCGCCCAACATGAGGCGAACGAACAGCTTCTCCTTCGACGACATTGCATCGGGGCGCAGGCTCTTTCTGCAAAAGAGAGGAGCTACGTGGTGAACGTGGACGGTCCGCAGCCAATGACGGTGATTGAGCAACATGCCATTGGACAATTTGAAGATCCGTCCAGGTAGCCAGCAGCCCATCAGTTGTTCCTAAAGGAAGTGGAATAAGTCTTTGGTGTGTGTGCGCGAATTCCAATCGTAGAAAAGGTTCGAAAACTGACGAACGATCATCGGGTATAAATCATATAAATAGTGCCCATGATTCACGACGTTGTCCCTTTCGTGCGTCACATGTAGTTCGGTACGAAGGTGAGGTTGAACGTAAAGAAGACTGGGTGGTGGTGGTGGTGGGGTCCAGTTGCTTAGTGGAGCTGTTAATCACCAAGTCGATGACTAAGCCAAGTTAGTTTGGAGCGACTTTCGCGCTGAGATTCAGGAGGGGCTTAACGCGTCCAGGCGCGTCTTGACCACAATCGGGATTGCCCTTCCAGGATAGTCGCAGATCGAATTCTTTCCTTCCTCGGTCAGCGTGCGACACAGCAAAGCCTCTCACGTTCAGGGTCACACGACAAATGTCAACAAGACAAGCCCTCGGATGACGGCTGGAATCACCAGCCTCTTTCCCATTCGATATTCGCCAGTACTCCGCCAACTCGCCCATAGAGCAGCAATTCGTGTCGCTCATGTCCACACTTCTGCCTCCCATCCGGATCTAGGTCCGCATACAGATTCCATGTTAGCCAGAGCGAAGAAGGCCTACGAGGCCAGCGCTCCGCCGCCCCAGAAGAATGACTTGGCCAAGCAACTATTCCCCTCGAGCAGCCCCAGCGCCACTCAGAATGGAAATATCATAGACCAGTTCAAAAAGACCACCCCGACGACCACGGTGCCACCCGCGACGACGAACTCGATACGACCCCCGCCTGGTAGGACTGCTAGTGTCACGCACTTCGCAAGCAGCAATCGATCCGCTCTGGACTCTATATCCGCCCCTAACGGCAAATCCTTCGCCTCTCTTTACGCCAGGTCTGACTCTTTTCGAGACGAGCCGGATAATGTGTCTACCCAAAGTGGGCAGGCCAACTCGAAACCCGCTGTGTATTTTGCCGAAGATGATTTCAGCGACGATGACCAGCTTGATCTGGACTTCGAAGCCCCATCAGCTCTACCGTCACTCCCCAAGCCCCCTGTTGTAGCAAAGAAGACTAGCAATCCGCCGCCCGGGGAACCTTCAACACAAGTTTTACCGTGGTCCTCGTCTCCCGCATCGCATTTCGTCCACCCTCAACTATCACGCAACACATCTGCCGAAAGCTCACTGAAGCGTGAGTCCCCAGAAAATTTCGAGTCTCAAGTGGCGCCGCAGCCCAAGAAGCGCAAGCTTCCAACAAAATGGAAAGTTGAGGAGGACTTTATCCCAGTGCCACAAGACGAGCCGGAGGTCTCTCGATGGGCGGATGGTGGTGTCACGCCTGCTCCCAAGAAGAAGAAAGAGACCTGGAATATGACTGCTAGCGCCCTCAAGGAGCAGAAGAAACAGTTGAAGACACAATTCAAGAAAGCCGCCAATGAGGAAGAGTGGTCCATGGATGACATTCGAGCAGAGGTGACGAAAAGCAACCTGCCCAAACCCAAGTCATCGGTAATCGCTCTCACTCAAGAGCAAAAGCATGTTCAAAACCTTGTTATCAACCAAGGCCAGAGTGTCTTCTTCACAGGTCCGGCCGGAACTGGAAAGTCGGTTTTGATGAGGTCGATCATTGCTGAGCTCCGGAAGAAATGGGCGAGAGATCCGGAAAGGCTAGCTATCACAGCGTCGACAGGCCTCGCAGCCTGCAATATCGGAGGCCAAACACTACATAGCTTCTCTGGGATTGGCCTCGGCAAGGAAGACGTCCAGACATTGGTCAAGAAGATCCGGCGGAACCCCAAAGCGAAGAACCGCTGGCTTCGCACCAAGATCCTCGTCCTTGATGAGGTCTCAATGGTGGACGGCGACCTGTTCGACAAGCTGTCACAAATCGGCAGAACCATCAGAAACAATGGCAAGCCCTGGGGAGGAATCCAGCTTGTAGTTACGGGAGATTTCTTCCAGCTGCCCCCTGTACCTGATGGCGATAAAGGCAGGGATTCTAAATTCGCCTTTGAAGCGGCAACTTGGAACACCACGATTGACCACACGATTGGTTTGACGCAGGTGTTCCGTCAAAGGGACCCAGGTATGTTGGAATGAAACACGAGTCTGGATATTGCAGACCGGCGCAGCAGCTAACCAATCTTAGTCTTTGCCAATATGCTGAACGAAATGCGTCTTGGCAGAATCAGCGACGAGACTGTGCAAGCGTTCAGAAACCTGACCAGGCCAGTTCCCGTCACAGATGGCCTGGAGGTCACGGAGCTGTTCCCTACACGATATGAGGTGGAGAACGCCAATCAAAGTCGACTGCGCAGATTGCCCGGAACACCCAAACGGTACGACGCAGGCGATAACGGAGACCCCCAAATACGCGACAAGTTACTCCAGAACATGATGGCACCCAAAATGATTGAGCTCAAGGTCGGTGCTCAGGTTATGCTTATCAAAAACATGGACGACACACTTGTCAACGGTTCACTCGGCAAAGTAACCCATTTCATGAGCGAGGGCGACTTTGAGACTTGGAATCCAGCACTCATGATGCAGAGTGTCGAGGACGTAGACGAGGATGGAGAATCAAGGGCTAAGCGCAAAATCAAAGCTTTTAGCAGAGAAGTAGAGGAGGCCACTAGAGGCAAGGCCGAGTATCCTGTCGTGGAATTCGCGGCGGTGGATGGATCTACCCGTACCATCCTCTGCGTCCCAGAAGATTGGAAGGTTGAGTTGCCTAATGGTGAGGTGCAGGCTAGTCGAAGCCAGCTACCTCTGATCCTGGCATGGGCACTATCGATTCACAAGGCCCAAGGTCAGACATTGGAACGTGTCAAGGTGGACCTGGGCAAAGTATTCGAAAAGGGTCAGGCCTATGTCGCGCTCAGTCGAGCGACCTGTCAACAAGGCCTGCAGGTCCTGAATTTCCGAAAGGACAAAGTGATGGCTCACCCTCGGGTCGTAGGGTTCTACAACAAGCTCTACAGTGCCGACGTAGCCATTGCGAAAAAACCACCGAGTATGGCTGATTTTCTACACAAGGAGAAGGACACGAAACCCGTCAGGAGTACTTCTGGAGTGAGCGCGCGGTCTTAATCGTTTGTGAGGAAGGGCGTTGAGGTGATTGACTTGGACGAGGAGGAGGAGGCAATGGCAAGCTACGGTGGCTTTTGAAATGGGGCCCAGGAAGGATCTTGGCAGTAACATAATACGGCGTTCTAGAGGCACCTCGTGAGCACATGTTCTACTCGAGTGGCCGGTTCATGCATGGTTGGAAGGGGTTCATTTAGTCTTCACGGTTGTCTAGACATGGATAGCGTTGGACTCTCAAGCTCTGGTTTCGTTTTGAAACCCTCCCACTTGGTGGGACGGAAAATGCCTCTGCTCTTGTAATGACTGAATAAGAGAAAACTATACTAAAAGATATTTGTCGTTGGGATCTTGATTCATTGTCATAGTGGAAAGCAAGGTAAGTTCAGGTAGTAGTAACATCCACTCGTAACCTCTCTCAGTTCGAGTTATGTCGTTGGGGGACGCCCAGAGCAGAGTCGGTACAGCTAGAGGTACTCTGTAGATACTGTCGCTTTCCTCAGCGAATGGAGAGCAACCAAGAGTAATGATAATCTACCTTACCTCGGGTGCGACGCCTACTATATGCGCTGACATTTAACCCAGCGTATTTACCTTCCTAATTGATTATGATGTTGGGTGCTGCGCATTTAATGGAAATTGGTACAATATGCCCAGTTCCTTTATTACCTAGCAGGTGAACCGAGCTTTTGAGGTACTGAACCTATAGGC